TATTCCCGGAGGCTAGTTGCACCACTGGCCAGCCTTCTTATTATGCATAGCAATTAGCACAGCACTCGACACAACACAACCCAGGGGCTGATCAAGTTCTTGAAAAAGCCTTTCATGTCAAGACCAATCAGGTAATTACGTTTAGTCCTACTTACTTTGTTTATTTAATTTGTTTCATTTCTTGTGGTTGTGGAGAAAGTATGCTTTGCCACTCGAGTAGATTGGAAATTGAAATCCTCGTGGTTTCCCCCGTTCGCCTTTTACTTTGCTCATTTTAACATTATCACATAATATGCTATTATAAAACACTTTAGCCTTATGCTATTGTTATTGTTTCCAGTCAAACATCTTAGTAATGTCAGCATTATGTAAACGAATTACCAGCACGACGTTAGAACAATGTTACATGTAGATGGCATAGTACGAAGCTTTCAGGCGTATTTCGAAAATGAAAAAAGGGGAGAATGGAATATTAAGGGTTTCCCATTTTTGCTCTTCGTTCACTCTTACTGGTACCGTAATGCTGTAAGCGAAGATGTAAAGAAAGCGCGAAGTGCTTTTATCTTACCTTCAATGCATAAAAGTAATTTAACTTGGTAACTACGGATTTGGAGCACTTTCATTAAAAGAATTTTTTTATTAAAAACCTTCCTTTCAAAACCACCACGCATCTGTTGTTGTAATAATTTACTTGGGAAATTGAATTTTCTAATAGAATTCGAGAATTATAAATTGCTCGAACGACATGCGGCGAAAGAAATACGTACCTTTTTCATATACCGAAGTAAAGCACAAAATTAGATTTGCGTATATTGCTCTGACACTCCATTGTTATTTTCGCATTCAATATATGGCATGGCTAGGCCGCACCAGCGGTGTTGCGGTTCCGAATTAAATTGGATTAACATTTCGCTTGCGGTTATTTTTATTTTTATTAAAAACATGACATAGATGCTTAAAATATAGGAATAGTATAAAATGAATTTCACAGCATGGACAATTCAGTCCATTCCAAAACTTTGAATCTAGCTTTGAATCCAGATCACATAATATTGACAACTAAAATAATAGTATACCTATTATAACCAAAGCCAAAAGCTTGTCATTTCACTTTCAGGAGAGAAGTGAAATCTTCATTGTGTTTAATATATTATTGTTTTAATTTATAGCAGATCTTAAATGGACATTTTAATAGGTTTTAATGAGCAGTCTCTCTTTATTAGTGATCTCTAACCGGAAGTGTAGATAAAGTGAAACAAATGATCCTAGACTTTTGTCATTCTTATTAAAAGTGGACCACGTACCACGAAATAGAATGAAGTTCAGAATAGAATTCATCAATAGATTCCATGAAAATGACAGAAGAACCCAACCTCGCTATTTTTGATGTACCTATACATTACATTCAGAAGTTTCATAATGATTTAGCTTCTTAATTCATTCGATGGTTTAAACATCCTTTTATCGTCTTCAAAATAACAATTAACTATTATTTACAACCAGAAGTACCTAGCTAAGCGAAACTAAAGATAATATACAATAATGTTAGTAGCTTAGCATAGAATAGTGACCAGATGATTAATCTGAGGTCTTTTCATTTTGGGGACCCGTTGGAAGGTGTGAAATCTGCTACCCCAAAGGAGGCATTTAGAAACATACGAAGATCGTGAATATTTTTCCATGTTATACAGATTCTTTTATCTGTGATTCCGTGAAAGAATTTCTTGGTTGCACACAGGGCCTGCTCGTGGGGTGACGTGGCCGCCTCGGGCGGCATAATCTTAGGAGCGGCATTTTTGAAATTTAAAAATGAAAAAAAAACATGTTTTATTATAATAATATAGTAGAATAATAAATGTTTGTAATGTCAATTGACTGAAAGCTTAGTTATAGACGGGAAGTGAAGGAATCGTGCAAAGCCACAAAGGTAAAAAAATCTTTAGAAATACTGAACTATATGGAGCTAAACAGTTTGAGTGATAACTTTCCAAATATAGTAGATTCTAGTCACTGTGGCCAGTGGAGGACGTTCTTTCTCAAAAAAAAATAATGAAAAATTATTTATGTTCAACAATGACAGAGGACAGATTAACGGATCTGGTCATTCTCGGCATTGAACATGAACTAAGTTCTAACATAGACTTCGATGATATTATTAACAATTTTGCAAATGAGAAGTTAAGAAGAGTTCCTATATAAATATAGGTATTATTCGTAGTTCCGTTTTTTTGTATGCTTATGTAAACGTCATTTACTGATTTCTACGATTTTATTTAGTTTTCTCGTTGTTTGGTTGTACTTATACTCATATTAAAGAACCAATTAACAAACAAAAAAAACCTTTTCATTTGGGCGGCAAAGTTAGCGCTTGCCTCACCGATTTTTTTCGACGAGTCGGCCCTGGTTGAACAAGCCTCGTATTTATATTTACATATTTACTTTTATACTTTCGATTCGCAACGAACACTTGAACGAGACATTGGAAAGGCCGAACGGTTTCAATGTTTAACACACTGAATGTGTGGTGAATTTATTTATGTTTAAATTTAAATCGTATTTTTTATTGGTGCTAAACGAGTGAAAGTAATATAAAATAGTATATCAAATTAGGACACATCCATTGGAACGGAAGATAATAATAAAGCGTTTACCCTATAATACTTTCATCCATTAAAATGGGCGCCTTCAATTCGACCGTTAACCTCCCTCTAACACGGTGCGTTAGTAACACGCCATTAGATGCTTATTAAAAAGTAATACATCTTAACCAACTTCATAATAAACCTACCAGGTGTCTAAGATCACATGTCGTAGATAAGACGCTTCTCAGTTTACAACCCTATATCAACTTTCTTGTACTTAATAATGTTTTGCTCCGATGAAACTTTAATTATACTTCTTGGTAATTAGTTACATTAGCTCGGTATAAACTAAACGTAACTTTTCCGTAAATGCTGTTCGGCAAATATTTCGCACCGGTGTTCTCATTACGCAATGCGGTTTTTAGTGTTTGACTTTCATGCATTTCGTACTATATTGGTCGTTAAGTAAAGTTTCAATTAAATAGAAACACGTCAAACCTTTATTAAGTAGTTCATTGACGATGTTGGAAAACAAGCGGTATGGATGTTTTTTTCCATCTTGATACGATGAAATGCATCGCTAAGGTCCCAAACAGTAAAATACTGCTTATACTATCACCTATCAATGTGGTCGTCAATAAGACGGAGAAGAAAACTGAAAATTATCACGTTTTGGAATTGAATTCAATTCCCGATAATCAACACACATTCGCAGTTTACCAATTTTTCTTTTAGCTAACACTATCGGAGACTTCTGCGGATTATGTCACGTGACAAGTCTTTTAAAATACGATCAATCTCTAGTTTATCTGCAAGATAGCCTACGTGCATTACAATAGAAAGGTGAAACGTAAGCCGACATCATCCTACTGAGCAAGGTTACACTAAACCATGCGCATGCGATTTCAACTCAAAAAACAAATTTAAATCCGTACATTTCCAGATATTCCTTCTGGAAATCAAGAGCAGTTTGACTGCACAACAAAAGTCCTGATTGATACGGTTTCCAACTTTTATTAACATTGATATTTGTAAAAATTTCCTTTACAGAATGAATAAATGTAATAGTTTTATTATATTTTTCTTCATTATTGTGTGAAATAGCATATTTACAGTAACGTCCTGTCATATATTTAAAAACCAACCTGTAGTTTCATAACTTCTTTCCAAAATGTTTTGGTTGACATAAAAATATATTGCTGCTGCTACATCTGAATTCAACAAACTAGCACTAAGTCGCACATTCATTTTTTGAAAATGTGTTGCATGTAGCATACTTTCTTTCAATTTGGTACGCAGTTTTAATGTATCAGATGTATCCAACTCGCAGACTATTTGTACACGATGTATTGAAACAAAGTTAGAGGGCAGATTATATTTCTTGACCATTGACTCTTCGAGCTCAAACACGTTACCGTCAATTATGTGCACCGGATCTGGAGATAAATACAGCTTTTGATTGCTCAGTTCATCACATGGATGTTGTGTATAGTTCTTTCAGAATATTTACTAGCAGTAATACCAAGTAACCTCCACACACTTCTGTTTTGGGGCCCCATGTCTGAGACCACGGCTTTTATTAATAATGAACGTTATTTTGTCACACATTTCTGTGGCAGAATATGATGAAGCAGTAAACTGATATGCAATAATCTGTTTCCAACGAACGCCAGTCAGCAAGAATACCAAAGCATGTGAAGCATATTCCTGACTAGGGTAAATGTGGGATATATGCCCCTGCTCATTATCGTGTTTTCTCGGTACTGTAATTAAAGTTCCTATGCATATTGATTTGCAAATAGTTTAATGTTACAAATTCAATGAAAAAAACCTATATTTTTTTGCTAATAATTATTTAATAGGCAAGTAAGTTGTATTAAAAAAATTATAGTATTGTGGGATATATGCCTTTTGTATGGGAGAAATGCCTCTAGTTCAGGGGATATTTGCCCCAGATGTTTTCAATAAAATTTTAATAACTTTGGATTAGATTTTAATATTTTTTTAGGAAAGCAGCATCGAGTAAGCCTAAAAACTAATACAAAACCAAACTCTAGATAATTAAAAAATAATTCTCGAAGCCTGAACGACCTGAACCCAATTAGTTTGCACTATTTTAGTGATAATGATGACACTTTTGCAGCTTTTTCTAGTCTTCTAACAGCACGACCACATACATTGCATCTGTTATTGTACATGCTGCACGTTTCATGCAGCCATTTGCTGCAATCTATACATTGTATCCAATCCACTTGCTCCTTTGTTTTGTAATAATTTTCTAAACATGACTTTTCTATAAAGTTACAACAGCACAATTCTTCGAAAGAGCATGTTGAGTCTTTCGTGAAGTGGGTAGATCTGAAGGAAAGGTTGGGAACAAGATCTACAATTGATGCAGTTAATCAAAAATTAATAAATATGGAGAAAGACCATTGGCGCAAAGTGCTGTACAGAATTATTGCTGTTGTTCGGTATCTTGCAGAAACCAATTCTGCTTTTCGCGGTAGGTCCAACGTTCCCTTTGATAAACACAATGGTAATTTTCTTAAATTAATTGAAATGATTGGAACATTTGATGATCCTATGAAGGAACACCTGAGAAGAATCCGAGATGAAGAGACCCGCGTGCATTATCTCGGATCAGACATCCAAAATGAGTTGATTGGTTTACTAGGGGAAGCCACAAAAAATAAAATTTTAGATGAAGTGCGGATTGCCAAATATTATTCAGTCATTCTCGATTGCACTCCTGATAAAAGCCATAAAGAGCAAATTTCATTCAGCATTCGTTATGTGAACATCACAAAAGATCCTCCAGAAATTGTTGAAAGATTTGTTGAATTTTTAGATATAACAGATTCAACAGGTGAAGGAATTACAGAAGTTTTAAAAATCTTGTTAAAGAAGAATGGCTTGGATATCATGAACTGAAGAGGGCAGGCTTATGACAACGGCTCGAATATGAAAGGGAAAAATAAAGGAGTTCAAAGCAGAGTTCTGGAAATCAATAAACGGGCAATATACATTGCTTGTCCTGCACATGAGCTCAATTTGGCTCTGTGTGATATGTCGAAATCTGTTCCTCTAGCAATGACATTTTTTGGAGTCATTCAACGACTATTCACGTTATTCTCCTCATCAACTCAGAGATGGAGTATTCTCTTAAAATACTGCACCAATTTGACTTTGAAACCTCATTCAACAACAAGATGGGAGTCTCGGCTGGAAAGTGTAAAACCTATACGCTACCAGCTAGGGAATGTTAGCGATGCCTTGAATGAACTTGCTAACACCACAAATGAACCTCTCACAAATTCGGAAGCGACCTCTCTGAAAAGCCATATTATCTCATTTGAATTTGTTCTTAGTTTAATCATCTGGTACGACTTGTTGCATGCGTTCAATATTGTTAGCAAATTATTACAATCGGAAGATATGAAATTAGATGTAGCCCTGAACGAGTTAAATGGTTTAACTACATTTTTAGAACATTATCGAGAAAGTGGGTTTGCAGCTGCTTTGAAGACCGCAAAAGATTTGATTGCAGAATTGGATTTGCAAGAGGAACCAAAGTTTGCTGTTACAAGGAAAAGCCGGAATAAAAACTTAAATGCAAATGAGATCGAAGATCCACAAGAGCACGCTAAAAATATATTTCGAACAACGTATTTTCTGGCAGTTGTTGACGTTGCAATTCGAAACATGCAGTGCAGATTTTCTGAATTAAAAAAATATGCAGAATTATTCGAATTTATTTTCGATATTCAGAAGCTCCAACAAATGTCTGAGACAGATTTACAGGCATCATGCAACAAACTGGCTGATGCATTTCAAGATGGACTGTCCCAAGATTTAGATCGCAATGGACTTTTTGCTGAGTTAAACATTTTTAAACACACTGTACCTGATAAAATTGATTCTGCATTGGCTGCTCTGAATTATTTGTATCCAATTAGAGAATCATACCCAAATTTAACAATTGCGTACAGATTATTGCTGACCATTCCTGTTACAGTTGCATCAGCGGAAAGAAGTTTTTCAAGATTAAAACTAATAATTAACTACCTGAGATCAACTATGACCGAACAGCGGCTAAATGGACTTGCAATCTTATCTATAGAGAGTGAAGTTGCGCAAGAAATAGACATTGAGGAGTTAATTGATAACTTTGCAGCAAAGAAAGCCAGAAAAGTTAATTTATAAGAAAGCATATTAATACAGTCATACATTTTTTTCTTGTAGCACTAAGTTGTGATGATATGAATGACTAATACTAATAACTAACAACACTATTATATAACTTTTATAATTATAATAATAATGTTTATTTGTGCTCATTGTGCAGCTATGGCTTTACACTAGTCAATAGGTATAGAAAAACGGGCATCTTATGACGCATACCTAACATTATGCATAATTTCAGTTTACATCCACAAATTTACCTTTATGTTATCACATCTGTGTTTACCATATTTTCCCGAGAACTACCCTACCTAGCATAAGCCTCTTCGGCGCATTTTGCCTTAGGCCTCCTAAAGCCTAGCGGCGGCGCTGCTTGAGATTGACGACTGGTATTGTCCGTTAAAAGTAATTGCTCTGCCAAATACATTTCGTTCTCAAGATTTGGTTGTTGCTCATCTAATATAAAAACATAATTGGAATCATTTTCGAAAAAAGAATGTCCGAGATTATTTGTCAATTCCTTAGTTGGAGTAGGACGGGTCTCTGAGGCAGTAGTACTTGATGACGTTGAGGGTAGGTTTATCTCAACGTCAAGATTGTTGTTATTTCTATTTTTAACTGTATTTTCTGACTCTTGTGTGGTTTCGATTGCAGTATAAGATGTACTTGGATTCTCCATGTGGTCAGAAATACTGAAAAAATAATCTGGAATTACAGATCTATTGAAAGGGTACCTATATTCCGCATGCAGTAAATCCAGAAGTGGCATTTGAAATGGTAGCTGCTTTGTTCCAGGCAGCACCAATCGGTTTTCCTATAACATTTCTGTTAATAGTTTTGTCCTGGCTTTGAAACATGTAAGAATCCGCCTCCAATTTATAAGCCGACTTCAGGGGATTGAACAATGACCTATCCAACGGTTGTACTGCCTGGGTAGTATGACTAGGCAGGCACAAAAGTATTATGTTGTTGGTTTCTGCATATTCCAAAGTTTCAAAATTATTACAATGAGAACTATGACCGTCAAATATCAGGATTACGGGCCCATTAGGTTTCCTGGGAGAAAAGACTTCTTTCATCCATTTTAAAAAAAGTTCAGAGTTTATGAATGAAGATTTTTTATTCATATATAAATCTGAACCCGTTGGCATTCCTTGCAAAATGGCTTGATTTTTTCGAACTCCTTTCAAAATAAGTACAGGTGGTAAAAATGTTCCCTCGGCGTTCGCACAAGCAATTATGGACACATTCTCTCCTCTTTCTTTCGAAGTTAGCACGTGAAAAGCTCTGCTGCCTTTGTGGGCTATAACTCTATCAGGTTTGTTGTTTATTTGAATACCACTTTCGTTCATATTGTATATACACTGTGGTTTACCTATTAAATCATACTTCTGAAGAACACTCTGGAGCAAAGAAAAAAATTGATCCACTTCTTCTCTATTCATGCCCTTTGCTCGAGCCAGTGAAAGCCCTTCACTTTTTCTTACGGCCAAATCAGGGTGTCTGTCCATGAAGGAATAAAACCAGTGCATTCCAGCGGCCTTTGTTTCTTCCTTAGTTGAAAACTTAGAAGCAGGATTCAGTTTTGTTGCAAACTGAATGCAATTTCTCTCTGACAGATGAGGGCGTGGGGGAAAATCCTAGCGACTGTAATTTTTTTATATGCTTCACTAATCTATTTTCATTTTCGACGCCCAAAACAGGAAGCTTTCCTACGTGAACTTTGGTAGAAACGCCGTGTTCAGGTGCCTTCTTAAAAAGGCGCGTATTCACCAAAACGGCGAGCTGCTCACGAGCAGTAGTAAACGCGTTCGCGTGTCGATGTAGACGTTGTTCGAGATTAGATCGCAAGCTGTTCGTAAACAGTTCGCAAGCTGTTCGTATACAGACCACGAACGGTTCGAGTATATTTTAATTTGCGAGCTATTCGCGAACAGGTTCGCTAGTTTTCCGTCGAGTGTCGGTAACTTCAAACAAAATAGCGACGAACATATAGTTTGGTGAGGACGTTCAAACATACCACTTGCTCGCGCAGTTGTAAAACGCTTGTTTATGAGTTTTAAGTGCATATACGAAATATTTTAAAGTACAGTACATTAAATTAACGATGTCGTTATTACAAGAGCAAGATGACGATGATCTGTTATTGGCAGCTGCTGCCTACGTTGTTATTCATCAATTAAGCCGAAAGTACGCACGTAGACGATACTGGCAGAGGCGTCTTTTCCAAAACAGGAAAATATATGGTGGTGCCAATCTCCTAGCGGAGTTAAAACTTGAAGATGGGAGTGGATTTAGAAACTTTTGCCGCATGTCTTCTACCGATTTTGAATATTTACTACGCCTTGTAGGACCGCAAATATCCAAACGTGACACAAATTACAGAAAAGCTATATCGGCACAAGAAAGATTGGCAATAACACTAAGATACTTGGCTACAGGAGACTCGTATGTCAGTCTGATGTACTTATTTAAAATATCAAAGCAGATTATTTCCAAAATAGTGCCAGAAGTTTGTCAAGCTCTTATAACAGCGCTTAGTGAACACCTACAGGTAAGAAAAACTTAAAGTATTTATTCAAAAGAAAGAAAAATAAACATACAAAAATCAAATGGGGTAATTAAATGATATATTATTGTATCGAATAAACATCATCGCGTTGTATATCTTCCATGCCGCAACTGGAAGTTGATGCTGGTGACGGTGCGGAAAGATTTGGAGACATCACTGGTGTACATGAAATCGGAGAACTACCATCATGTAGTGAATATGAAGGGGATGGTTGCATATAATGATATGGCTGTGTCATGAGATCTGCACTTTGAGTATAATTAAAGGTTGAAATATTACTTGGCCGTGAGATCCTCATTTCTGTTTCAAAAACTAGTGTATTAATTTTATGCATAAGTATAAGTCTATTGCGATCGTCTAATTTTTGTAATTTACATGCTAATTGTTCACCGAACAGTGCGCACTCATCGCGTGAAGCAGTTCGCTTTGCAGATAGCATAGACATGACTCCATATGCTTCTTCAAGGCGACTATCTTTTTGTTTGCTGGCCACTTTCTTTATACGTTTGGCAGGTGGAGGGAACGTGTCACGTATGTTTTGAGTTTCTACGGGGGCAGAATCTTGTTCGACATGTTGGTTGTCGGGTTGATGGCTTTCATCCAGATGTTCGATTTGAGATGTGTCATCATCTCCTCCTTCCTCTTCTTCACTTACTTCTCTTTCGTTGTTGTCCTATAAAAGAGATACATTACATACGACATTTATTTAATACCATGTTGTTGCAGGTGCCTAATTCGATCGAATCGTGGCAAAAGGTTGCGGATGGCTTTAAAAAAAGATGGAATTTTCCACAATGTGTGGGAGCAATTGACGGCAAACACGTTGTTCTACAAGCCCCTATTAAAACCGGAACAGAATACCACAATTATAAAGGGACATTCAGCATTGTTTTGATGGCCGTGGTGGATAGCGACTATTCGTTCTTATATGTTGATGTTGGATGCCAGGGTAGGATTTCAGATGGAGAGTGTTCAGAAATTCAAACTTTTATTCTAAATTAAGTACAGGGGAACTCAATCTTCCATCAAGTAGTGCACTGCCAAACCGGAACACAGCTGTGCCTTTCGTTTATGTAGCTGACGACGCCTTTCCGTTACAAGAACACATAATGAAACCCTATCCTGGCAATCATGAAGAGGGATCACAAAAGCGAATCTTTAATTATCGATCAAGCAGAGCGCGGAGGATCGTAGAAAATGCATTCGGTATATTATCAGTAGTTTTTCGAGTGTTGCGAAAACCAATGCTGTTAGAACCTGAAAAGGCAAAAATTGTGACTTTGGCATGCGTGTTTTTACACAACTTTCTTAAAAAAAGTCCATCATCGCGCAACGTATACGCTCCACCCGGATCTTTTGACTTTGAAGATGACAATCGGACGATTGAGGGCGAATGGAGGCAACACTCTGCAGACTTAACGTCTCTTTTACCTCTGCGAAGGGTTGCTAGAAAATCGGCAGTTATCGCCCAAGAAGTTAGAGATGAATACTCAGAATATTTTTCTAATGAGGGTGCTGTACCGTGGCAAAATATGCTTGCCTAAATATATGAAAACAATATGGTCCTGTATTTACTTACCTGTCCCATTGTATCCATTGTTGCTTTTGGTTCATTTCTGTCGTTGAGAAACGCAAAAGCTTTGTATGCAAACCATACTCTTGTATCAATTTCATCAGTACCCATTCCCGATTTTACCATCTTCTGTACTTTCTGCCTTACACGACGAAATTGTGCTAATAAAGTTTTCATTTTTCGTTCTGTTTCGTCACGCGGCACATTAATTTCAGCTGCTAACGCAACCCAATCATCATTTGTCTTTATTTTATTGCGGTACACACTTAATTTAACATTCCACAGAACGGGCTTCTCCCGATATTTTTCAATAAGCTCGATCACTTTTTCCTCACTCCACTCCATAACTGTCAACGTATTAATAACGACGCGTTGAACACTGGTGGTGACTGAATTGACAAATGACAATGCACAAACTTGTAGATAAATCGGAACTTTTCACGAACCGTTGGAGAACATGCGCTTTAGTTAAAATTGTTTTCAGTGTGGACATTACGTGTAACTTCCGGCGAACTAACCAAAGCCCGTCACTACGTGTTCGTAAGCTGCTCGCAAACACGTCGATGCCTATTTTACGAACTACTTGCGAACGGTTCGCGCCGAATTTTTTGGTGAATACGCGCCTT